ATATTTATTTATTATTATTATTATTTTTACGATAATATTAATAATAGCCGCACTCATTTCTAGCAACTTGAGCAACCCTCTCCATTCATCTTGCATTTGCTGACATGCAACTGTCGAGCTGTCCCAGCAGTCAGCTCACACGCCCTCATTTCTGTGGATTATGCATTGGCAGAAGGCGCAAAGCAATTGCATAAGTGCAAAATTTCGTTTCACTCGTTTTGGCCAACTTTCCTAAACTTGGCAAACATCGATTTTTCAATGCAGTTGTCGTCGTCACGTCAACATTATTTTCGGCTCGCTGCTCGAAGAGTTCATTGCACCCAGCAAGTGGCTCCTACTTTGCGTTTGCCTGCGTCTTGGCCCTTTGGTCAATGGTCAAAAGCATAAAAAAAACCAACACACACACACAAACAATTGTTGGCTTTGACTGTTTAGCTATTTGTTTTCTTTTTACTTGTTTTTTGTTGTTGTTCGGTTTTGCTTTCGCTTTGAACTTCTGCCATGTAATAATCATTTTTCATTATTGCGCATTTTTCCAGTTGAAAACGCTTGCTGCAATTTGCTAGATAATCAATATTTAATCACAGGTCTTTATGTTGCCTCATTATGACTAATATATGATTGAAAATGCAATTGCGTCCATCATTATTATTATTATTATTATTATTATTAGTCTACTCGTTTCAAGTGAAACGAGTCAGACAATGAAGTTCACTCTAAAAGGTTAAGAGGTTGCTCCGTCTAAGAAAGTTGAGACATTAAAAATGCGGGTGATCAAGCGTGAATAAGGAAAGTTGATGGTAAAAATAAAGCTGGCAGATCATAATACAGATTACTCAATACAAAAGTAGAGCAAATTCCATTTACTTGTAGCTATACAAATCAGTTAGCTGCTAATGATTACCATGCCTGCTAACTGGTCTCTAGTAAATGTTATCTCATCTACACGAAAATAAACTGACCTATTTATTAGGGCCCACCGTCGAATCGTGTCGCCTAACGGCCCTGACATTTCAATCAATCATGAACGAAATTCCCAAAAAACACACACGAATGGGTTGGGCCTATGGGTATATTGTACTCAATATTATTATAGATTTTGCTCCCAAGTACATTTTATGTTTTATTTCTTTGCTTTCTACGAAACGAAAGCGTGTAACCCAAAAAGAAAACAAAAAGAAAGAAGAAGAAATAAAGCTAGTTAAAGTTCAGTTGCTGTCTCTCTCTCTCTCTCTCTCTCACTCCCGCTCGAAATGACAAAGCATAGGCAAGACAATTATAAAGTAATTACGCACGCTGAGCGGGCCTTACAAATGGGCCTCTCTAGAAATGTCACCGCTGCGTTTTACTGCGGGGGCTGTATTCGTCTGTCTAATTGTGCTGTGCGCCGAGAGGGAAGTGACCACAACAGACCTCGACCTATTTGGATAACTTTTTACTATTTGGGCTGACCACTTCCGTTGATAGTTCTATCGCAGCTAATGCAGTGAGTGTGCTACCTGTTGCAGTTTCTATTTTATTTAAATGAAATGGGAGTTGATGTATTTATACAGGTACAGAAACCGGAAATGTATTTAGAAATAAAGAAATAGATATATTGATAGGGAAATAGATATAATAATAG